CCTGAAAGCTCAGAGGTCCTCAATGTTTTCTAGATCAACTTGTTTCCCTGTGGAGTTCAGACCTTGAATAACGAGTTAGAAGCAAATACAGGAGGAAATATAGAAGCCCAGAAGCTATGATCAGAGGGTAAAATGTGGTCTCAGGCTATTCTCCCTCCTGGTACAGGGTCTCAGGCTATTCTCCCTCCTGGTACAGGGGCTGACTCTGGGGAAGTCAGAACTGCGAAAGGCCATCACTCTGATTCAAGAGCTGTTCTCTTTGCATCTCCCACGCCCACTCTAAAACCCTGACCAAAACCTTCAGCTTGCCCCTTTTCTTCACCCTGCACTTAAAGTCAGTCGCCAAACCCTCTAGCCTTCAGTGTATTTTTCATATCTACACCTCTATGTGTCCCATTACCACCAGCCAGCACAGTCCCTCTGTTAGCCCCCTCCCTGACCAGTCTCCGTGCCCCCATCTCCTTCTCTCACCTTTTGGCCTACCTCAACCACATTTACTTTTCTTTTAAAAAAATTTTTTTAAGTTTATTTATTTTTGAGAGAGTGACAGAAACAGAGTGTGAGTGGGTGAGGGGCAGAGAGAGGGAGACAGAATCCGAAGCAGGCTCCAGGCTCTGAGCTGTCAGCACAGAGCTTGATGTGGGGCTTGAACCCATGAACTGTGAGATCATGACCTGAGCCGAAGCGGGACTCTCAAACCGACTGAGTCACCCAGGCACCCCAACCATGTTTACCTTTCATTCATGCTAATCTGCTCTGAGCAGGCCACTACCTCCACCAGAAATCCTTCAAGGATTCTGCACTGCAGGTTTCTAACTCTCCAACCTTGATTTCTACTGTACCCCACACCGACTCCACATTCCAACCTTATCTCCCATTGTACTCACACCTACTTCACATTTCAGCCGCCTGGTCTACTTGCTCTTCCCAGGATCCCTTGCATTTTCCTGGTGTACCTTTCCACAGGCCCCTCCCTCTATCTAATCCATCTCTGCCCATTGCAGTCCTACTGATTATTCCAGAAGTAGGTCAAGTGCTAACTGTTCGAATATGTTTTCTTCTTTTCCTATTCACGTCTATATTGCCACTCTTGCATTGTTCACCACATGTTAACCTTATGTTATCATTTATGTATCATTATTTGTGTACTTATTTCTTCTGCCTACCAATATTTCTCTTTTTTTTTAAGTTTATTGATTTATTTTGAGAGGGAGAGAGAGAGGGAGGAAGGAGGGAGGGTCAGAGAGAGGGGGGGAGAGAGAGAATCCCAAACAGGCTCTGCACTGTCAGTACAGAGCCCAATGAGGGACTCGAACTCAGGAACTGTGATATCATGACCCGAGCTTAAATCAAGAGTCAGATGCTCAACTGACTGAGCCACCCAGGCGCCCCTGCCTGCCAATATTTCTTAAGCACCTATGACATGTCAACCGTATGCACTAGGCGTTTTACATGTGTTATCTAACCTAATCCTCACAACAGCTTTGTGAGAGTAAGAATAATGAAGAGTATTATCATCCCCACTTTACAGATCGGGAATCTGAGGTTGCAAGAAATTAATTAACTTGTTCAAAGTAGCATCCTTACTAAGTGGCAGAGTCATCACTCACTCAATTGAATTTTATTACAATCCAGGTATGCCAGATTCCTAAGCCCTACAGACTTTTCAGTATAGACTGGGAAGTCCCTTTGGGGCAGTTAATGCCGGAACCTCAGGACAAGGCAGATCTGTTAAGAAGGTTTTCTGCTCCTCTCTCATTAGATTGAGACTCATCGTGCTATAGGAAATGCTCCTTTGGCTCTCAGTCAGCACTTGGCCCAGGTTAGCGCAGGGCTAAAGAAATGATTCATGAAAACAAATACCATACAGGATTCTTAGTTCCACTGGTGACCCTGATTATTATAAAACTGTGAAAGGAAACGCATGCCACACCCTGGCCCAGGTTTAGCAACCTAGAACTCCCAGTTCTCTGTCACCTTAGTCTAGGCCTCATGCTAAACCTCTCTGTCTCCTGATTAGATCCAGAGGGATACCTCAGATTTGAGAAACAAGGCTGCAACAGCACTGTTGTTATTAGGGTTGGCCTAATGACTCTGATAAGAGTCCCTGTCAGTAATACCCAAATTGGACAAACAAGAAATTCATATGAAGATTAATAGTAGAGAAGGGTTAGTCTACCTTGAATTGTTTTTTCACCATTTAGGGTTGGAAGCCCCCAAACTTGTTGCGTCAGTTCATATTGCCAAATGAAGAACATTATAACAATGGGCTTATTCTCTTCCTTATTATTTTGGCATCATGTGTGTCCAACAGCCACTGTTTGCTCAAGGAGAGTCTCAACAGGACTTGCTGATGCTTGTGGCCAATAAGCATGGTTCCTAAGCCACTTTCACTCTGGCACGGGGTGTGGATCTAATGGTAAAGAAGCTGAATGGGAAAGGAGGTTAGGTAACACAAATTTATGTTTTTATTTTTACTCTCTCTTTCAGTACTCAAAGCAGTCCTTTTTCAGGTAGGTAATACTGAGACATCCATCCTACAAATCCAAAAACTGTGTGGTAAGTGACAGGCAGGGAGTGGAACCCTCATATAACTGAGTTGCACAGCCTTCCACTCTCCTAAGCTCGTGCTCTGTGGCAAGACCTTTTGTTTAGGCAAATGTCAGCCATTTAAAAAGGACTAAAGGCTAAATCTGTACCCAAGTTATAGTTCTCAAGTGTCAATATTCTTCCCTCCCTCCAAACCAAGATGATACAACATCTTTAATTTCTCAAATGTCTCATATTTTCCAGAGCTGACAAGATCTCACCAAGAAGTAGTCGCTGCACTATAAGACTCTTACCTTTCACTCAGAAGACTCCCATGTTGGAGTCTTAGGTAAGTGGGCTTGCTTAAACTAGTTATCTCAGTTGGTTAGACCACAGGCCACCAAGGACAGTCAGCCACAGTCACGGACAAAATCATTCTGTTCCCAGCCATCTTTAAAACATGTCATAAAGTGGCTGAGTGGCAACACAGATGGCCCAGGGCAGGTCATCAAGGGGACTGACGAGAGTTACCAGAACTGCCATTAACTGGAGCCACTTGTATCATGTTCATGAATGAAGTAAAAAATTCTAAGGGGTGCCTAGGTAGCTCAGTTGGTTAAACATCCGACTTCAGCCTAGGTCATGATCTCGTGGTACTCAAGTTCAAGCCCCATGTTGCTCTCTGTGCTGACAGCTCAGAGCCTGGAGCCTGCTTCAGATTCTGTGTCTCCCTCTCTCTCCGCCCCTCCCCTGCTCACACTTTGTCTCTCTCTCTCAAAAATAAATAAAAACATTAAAAAAAATTCTCTCTCTTCCCGTCCCTTCACTTTTTGATCTGTTGTGTTGTAGACAGTGTAATGAATAGAGCACCTTCATAATAATGTATGTCCATATGGGAGGGGGTTGTTGTTACTAATCAGTCAACACTGACAACTTACAAAAAGTATTTCAACCTCTCAAAACTCTAGCCAAGTATGACATTGGAGATTCCTTTTACAGGGCTAAACTATTGGTGCATTACGATTCTTTCACATTTCACAGAAATAACAGAACAACTTTTATTTTGCCTTCCCCAATGCGGTTCTTGTATTTTGTTACTGTCTCTGCCATATGGTTAAAAAGGGTTACTCAGAGAACAACCAAATATTGTTATTTCAACACTATAGAAACTACTGAGTTTTGTTACTCCTTAATACCTTGTGTATCCCTCCAAAAAGAATGCTCAAAGACATTTTTAATTGGAAGACATTCACTACCTATTGTCTGAATTGTGTTGGCAACGTTTGAGTAGCACCTTGAAAAAAACTCATGACGTACGTCAGCAGAAGTCCAGAAAAGGAAAGTAGAGATTTGTGGAAAGCGAAATATTACAGGACTCAAAGTGTGGTCAGAGGTGGGTCTTGTGCTATCAGATATACTAAACAAAGCGCACTGGGAAAGGCAAAGCATTTAGCAGTCTGCAAGGTAAATGGATGTTTGACACGGAGTGGGGAGAGAGAGAGGTGATGGGTTCCTTCAGTTCCCCTCACACATCTTCCCACCTTCACTCTCCTTTTTTGAAGCCATGATAAAACCACAAGGATTCCCACTTTGCTCCCCTACTTTCCTCTGGCCTTCCTAACTCTTCTCTTACCCCACTTCTTCTCTCTCACTTTCCATTTTGCCCCTCTGTACACAATCTTTTGCTTTCAACTAAAGGTAATTTCATTGCAGCTGGAAAACAACCCATGCCTTCTTCTTCCCTCATTCCCGAGTCCAGGGACCTGGGTCCCTCCTGGGCTCCTTGGAGCTGGGACCTTCCCCCCTGAGCTCAGCAGCCCAAGCTGTGAGGATGATCTATTTCGTGAGTCCTCCAGTAGGCTGGCCTCTCCATGACGCCAATCTGCTCCTCTTCCCTCCCCCAGCCCCACGTCTTATCCCCAAAGAAACCTAAACTCCGTGGCCTCTGAAACTGTCTGTGCCTGGGTCCTCAAGGTCTCCGCCAGGATCCAAGATTTTTCTAACCAAAGTGGGGTTGAATCGGGGAAGACAGTACCTCTTTGCAGGCGTGAAGCTCCGGTCCCGCTGCCTGGGTCACCTGGAAGGCGGTCCCAACCCAGAGCAGCAGCCGCAGAAGCCGGAGTGTGCGCCGCTCAGTTCTTCCCCTGCGTCCGGAAGAGGGATGGAGGCTGCGCCCAGGCTCAGCCATAACGTTGTCCTGAGCGAGCGGCAGCAGCGGCTCAGGTGCTGCGGCTGCTGCTACTGCTGGCAGAAGGCGGAAAAAAAGGGGAGGGAGGTTCACAGGGGGAGGATGCAAGGGGCTGGGCTCGCTTCAGTCACCTCCCTGCGGCTACGCCGAGGCCGCCCATCCTTCCTCCTCCCTCCTTCCTCTTCTCCTCCTACCCACGTCGCCTTGGCAACCGCCTCCTCTTTCCCTCCGCGCGGGTGGGTCAGGGACCACGAGCTCCTCTGCCGCTCACCTGCCGGTCGCCATGGCAGCCGCCGCCGCTGGCGCGCGCCGCGTGGGAGGGCGCGCGCCCGGGGTCTGCAACCGGCCCAACAGGCGGGCACGGGGGGCGTGTAAAGAACGCAGTAGAAACATCCTCCAAGCCATCGCCACCAAATCCACCTTTTCCATTGCCCTTTTGTGCCATGGGCCTTTTATGAGCACCTCTAATTTTGCAGACGTGGCGTTCGACAAATACTTATTTAGCACCTCCTGTGTGTGGAGCGATAGAAGGAAGATTGAGACGCCATCTCACCTCCAGAAGTTACAGTTTGGAAGAGTGGCCCCGGTACGCGTTACCTACTGCAGCAGCCTCTTGTGGAGATCTTAACTTCCGTCCCACCAAATTCAGCGGTGCCTTTACAACCGGCTCTGTGAGAAGACTTGAGACTGGCATAAACGGATTTAAGCAAGGAGTGTTTGTGCAAGACACTTGGGCTCTTCCGTCTCCTGACATCCTCATTCTCTCATTGCTTTGAAAAATCCTTCTGTTAGATGCGAGGTAGAAGGAAATTCCTGGGTCATCTTTTAGGACTTCTTTCCCCAGATGAAGTCTTTTGCAGAAGTCCTGCACGCCAGGAGGCCGGCGTTTTTCAACTAAGCCTCCCGAATGCAAATGCAGGGCTCCCTGGTACACTCGGTGACACTTGCCCTCTGCGTTCCCAGGAGCTACCTCGCAAGGGGTCTCCCGCGCTGCACCGCCAGGTGGCGCCCTTCTCGAAGGGAACTCACCTCAGTCACAGACGGTGGGGCAGTTGCTCGGCAACCGAAACTGGGCGTTCCAAACAATTGGGACCCGGGATCCTCCGCGTGCGTTGTGTGCGGCTGCGCGGGCCCCCAGTCCTTCACACCAGCGCCTTTTTGCCATGCCTTTCACCCGAGACCCTTTCCAGCACCCTACGTTGGATAACGATGATTCCTACTTGGGAAAAGCCCGAGCTTCCAAGGTACTGTGGTTTCTTGCGCAGATTCCCACCAGGGTCGATGGCACTCTTCTTTCTGTTCGCCTAATGGGCAGAGATTCTGGTAACTTAAAGGATTCTGGTGGGGACACTGAGTCAAGTACCGGATAAGTTTGCTTTCTGCCTGCCTCCTTGGCCCCATATTCAGGTCTGCTAACGTTTCAGAGGTGCTTTTGAGGAGAGTGAAGTAGAGCTCTAGCCCAGAGGAACAAGGGGCTCTCGTTGCCCAAAGCAATGCTGTGTAATGTGGCTTAAACAGTCGCAGGTCCCGCCAAACCACCCTTTGCCCTGTTTGGAAAACTGTTCTCTGAAGAGACATGAGATATGGAATGGGAGAGAATCCTCTGGAAGCCACCAGGTCATGCCTTATACATCTGCCTTCACACCATCTCTGTCTTTTGGTTAATACTGGAATGTGTT